GTGATGAATTAACTACGTATTGGCCTCAAAAGATAGTAAAGAGTACTATGTCCTGCAGGCTAAAGATTTGGAGACCCTGCTATAGAAGCAAATTCATAACATATAGAATGCTTTCATATTATGTAAAATTACTAAACTGACAGTGCTGTTTAATGATAGCTTTCATTTTAATTTTAAATGCTATTCCTGAAAACAAATGTAGTGTGGCATAGAATAAACACATTTTATAAGAAATAAATTAACAAAAGACACATAAAAATCATGATCTCTCTATGAGAAGTAAAAACTATTTATTAGTGCTTTAACTATCGCTCAGTTTACCCTAATTTTTAACTATAAATGAACAGAAATTAATGCCTACATAGCAAGTAAAATTAATCTGATTATCAAATAATACTGATTACAAGCAATTACTACAAACAAAGATTACAATAGAAAGAAATATTGTCCAGTTAACAAACAGTTTATGAATAACTAGCTTTTACATTTACATCGCTTTTAAACGCATTTTTGTAAAACAAACTGCTGGGACAGATAATTCTTAAATGCTATAATGATAAACTTAAATATTCAACAGATGCATTAACTTCTTGCATGTTAAGAAGCAATCTTGTTTAATGTCTCCTCCTATTAAATTATGTAATTTCTAATTTCAAAAATTCGGTAACTGAAATGTTTCAAACCAAAATTATACACACGTCTAAATATCAGTATAGCGTGAGCACTTTCATTACTAATTGCATTGAACACACATGCTAGGCCAAACGATCTTTACTCACCATAAAAGTTTTATTATTCAAAATATGATTAAAAAATTTTGATGAAAGTACTAATATGGACAATATAAAAAACCACCCCCCCCCGAATAAAAGAATCCTTACTTACCAGAATGCTTTTTTTTATACTGTCCAGTTTGTTTTACTTGCAAATATTTTGTACGTTGCACAAATTATAAAAAAATATGCGAAAACTTGTATTTTAACATGAGCGAAACTTCGCCAAAGATAGCCAACACATAATTCTGACGTCAGAAATCCAGGGACGGTCAGCGCCATCATTGTCAAAAGGCAGCATTCGTAATTCTCAAAACTTACTCTTAACTTCACATCATCAGAGATAAAATAATTACACCAAAAAGAGGGGTCATCATACAAGAAAAATTTAGACCTAATATAAAAATAAAGCTTTTCAGATAATTCCCTTCCGCATGAGAAAAAAGGAAAAACTCATAGAGGTCTTTTTATGAAATTTGTGTCTACAAATAGCAGATTCAATTTTGAAGGCAGTCACCATTCACAAAATTTGGAATAGAATTAAAAGGTGCCAAATGTTTCCTTGATTCTTGATATGAACAGTAAAATAAAAATCCTAAGAACAAGCAGTCCGGATGAAGAGAACTAGCGCAAGTTCAATGAATTTGCACCTACTCGGGGTAGCTGGGCAAAATAGGCGGGGGATCCGTTAGGCGGGTTCTAGAAGCAGCTGATGGAGGAAAAGAAATTTTGGTCGTTACTCAACGTGACGTTTAAAGGTGAGATATGAGCAGCCCCTTAGAAGGGGGGCGAAAGCAACCCGTTTAGCGGGTGAAAGGAAGTTTTTAAGAAGCAATTAAAAATAAAGTGCAGTCGCGTGCGGCTGCAGAGATAAAGTTCTCCCTTGTTAAAGAGACTTCATTCCGAGGTGGGACAGGGTTCGAGATAGATGTCTTATCGCTTCGCTCTCCGTTTCCTTGAGTTGCTGACACCCCGCTACTGTACCGAGTTCATCGACCTCGCCTCACGGACTCTGGGTTGTTTTTTTCTTTGGCTTTCGCCTCGCTGAAGCGTCGCCTTAACTCCGCTGCTGCACCCTTCGCTAGATAAAACAGGTCGTATTTTATTCTTTCTTCTGATTCTCTTTATTCACCATGCTGATAAGGGTACCTTCGGGCACGGCCTCTAGTTAGCCTTTTCCAACTATTTGCCTCACATGATTAATCAATGACACAACAAACATAAATGTAAATAATACACAAACAAAACACCTCCAAATCAAAATCCCCCATGAGACATCTCAATGACCCAACGTCTCCAAACTACCACCCCCACCCCAAAAGACTAACCAAACAAAAGTGACACCATTCCCGCAAATAGAAAACCAAACTCCAGCCCAAAAACAAGCAGAATTGATAAAGTGCCAATTATTGTCGTAGATGACGTACCAAAAGCGGATGAATTCTTAAAAAACTTAAACAAGCAAACCGGAAAAGAGATAACTGGCACCTTAAAAGGACGCCGCCTTGAAATACAGCCTGCAGACTCTGACTCACATCGATTCATTCGCAAAATAGTTGAAGAAACTAAGCTTAAAGCCCACACCTACTTATTGCCCGAAGATAAAGTTTTAAAAGTCATAATAAGAGGCTTACCCATCACCACAGATCCCCAAACCATCACTCAAGAACTTCTTGACAAAGGATTCAAGGTTAACTTTATTACACTATTAAGAAACAGAAAAGAAAAAACCCAATGCCGCTTTTCTTAGTACATAACCAAAATCAGAAGAAAATAAGGAAGTATTCAAAATCAAACGCATAGGTTATATGAACGTATCAATAGAATCATTACGCAAGAAACCTGGCCCTCCACAATGCTATAGATGCCAGGGATTTTTTCACAGTTCCCTGCTCTGCACCAGAGACTGGGTATGCGTCCGTTGCGGAGGCAATCATAAACCTATAGAATGCACCCGTAGTCGCGACCAGCCAGCCATATGTTATCACTGCAAAGGTCCTCACCCAGCCAACTTCTCAAATTGCCCGGCCAGACCAAAAAACAAACAAGTTCAGTTCCAACCCAGTCCTCCACCAGCAACCAATCCCTGGACTAACAGAAGACAAGACTTTCCTCCGCTGACATCAAACAGTAACGAAAATCTCGCTCAAACCTCCATTCAAAACGAAAATCCAACAGAAGAAACTACCAGCACCGCAGAATCCTCCCTGTCAGACCTCTTTGACTTCTCTTCGCTAAAAACAATCTGGACAATAGTGATACAAGGACTCAAAAACATTAAAACCAAGAAATCACCTCTTGATAAAATAATCGCAGTAGTCGAAATCATTGAAAAAATAGGAAATCATCTTTAATTCTAATAAATTCAAGAATAGATGCAACATAAAAATCCTCTCTTGGAACGCAAACGGTCTTTACCATAAAAAGATGAATTATCCAACCTCATTATTGAAATTGAACCTGACGTAATACTCATACAAGAGACTCACCTTAAACCAGCACTCAAAGTACTTTATTCTAATTATAACACCTACCGTACGGATCGTGAGACAGGAAGAGGCGGTGGCATCATCACATTTGTTAAAAGGAGCATGAAACACTCTCAAATTCCTAATCCCAGCACCACTTTCGAAAGTAACACAATAGAAATTGTAATAGAAGTTAAAAAAAAAATTTCGAATATATACATCCCACCAAATAATCCCAGCGCACAAGAATTGATTCACCTCCTTAATTCTAATACTTCTACCATTGTCGGAGGGGACTTCAACGCCAAACAGCCCTGCTGGAACCGAAGGACCTGCTAACAAAAAAGGAAATGACATATTTAAACTCATTCAATCAAATAATTATAACATTCATGCTCCAGACGAGCCCACCCATTACGGGTCAATAGCGCACCACAATTGACTTCTTTATCTCAATAACAAACGACAAATTGAATTCATGTCTCCGACCACCCCCTGTATGAAAGCCGCATAATAAATATCCCCTCACTGACAGAGTATAGGGTACAAAGGGCTTAGTATCGTGACAATGGCGATCCGCGAGGCGGAAAATGGAGTCGGAGGAGCAGCAGCAAACGGGTGTTTAATAGCAGTAAACCAGTCAATTTTGTTGTTAGCGACAATTTTCAAATTCGCGACAGGGCCGTACCGTAGGATCTTACCTTATTTTATAATTTATATTAAATAATGACAGCAATTCAGTAAATTCAACAGTAAATGATAAAATTAAATAACATTTTTTTTTTTTTTTTTTTGCTCATTGGATGTCTCCGTAGAAAAAAAAATCACTTATTCCATAACAAGGATGTTAGAATAATCCGTAGAAGTCCTCTACAGACCTCGATTCTAACCTTCTTCTTCCATAATCTCCACCAAAGAGGTTAGAATTATGAACATAAATGTAAACATATTTCACAACATCTATATTCACAGAGACCTTCGAATCGAACTTATTCAAGAGTATATTAAACGATTAGCTGTCAACTTCTTTTATTCAGTACAAACCCACGGTAATAGCCTTATTAGCACTCTCAGACACTCCCCGCGTCCCAGAGAAAAACATCGTTACCCTGATGACATCCTTCCCACATAAAGGCCCATTTACACTAGCGGAACTTTGAGCCTAAGAAATGCACGCGGAGTTGCTAGCTTCACTAAATGGCGAAAATGTACTCTTTTTTTTTCAAGGGAACTAAATAGTACACATGAAAATAAACAGCCAAATTATAACATTATTCAAGAGTTTAAGAGTAAATATTCCCTCATAATACGAAAAAAATTGCTGTTTAAAAGCTCTCAACGAGGTCAATTCGCCGCGTTTCTAGGCTCAAAGTTCCGCTAGTGTAAATGGCCTTCACAACCTAATTGACTCATTCACGCATAACTGGACTCGCGGTTTTACCCCCACCGCGGCTACATCTTATAGGACACTGAACTGACACCCCCCCTTTTTTCGCGCGCCGCTAGGGGCGGACCTCACTCTCTTTCATCCGCCTCCCACACTCCTTTCACCCTTCTCTTTCTCCCCCCACCCGATCTTTATCAGAAGTCGAGTAAAAAGATGTTTCTACATCTTTACACTCGAGAATAAAATACGATCTGTGTGTAAACATCTTTCTCCACAACTGGTCAAAATGCGCAAATAGTACAAAATTGTTTTTTGCGCAGCGAGTGGGCCGTCTAGCATTTTCACTGTGTATCGGCTAACCGTAAACACAGCCTTAGAGATGAAAAGCTGGCCTGTTTATCACCTAAATGTCTGAAACAATGTTGAAAGATGCATGTGCTACAACATGTAGTGAAAACTCGTACAACATTAACATAAACAGTGGTCAGAATGAATCTGATCCCAAAATACTTAAATGTGATATTTGCAATCTGACATTCAAGCGAAAGTATAACTTAACATTACATAAGATCAAACACGAAGGATCCGAAAATCTTGAATGTAATATGTGCGGTAATATTTTCCCAAAAAATCGATTTTTAAGGCATGTTATGGTACATACTGGTGAAAGACCGCATGTCTGTAATATTTGTGGCCGTGGCTTTAGATTAAATCGCGACCTTAAACAACACAGTTTTACACATACTGGTGAAAAACCCTACGCGTGTGATTTTTGTGGTCGAAGATTTCTGGATAAAAGTGCACGTAGAAAACATTATCAGACTCATACAGGTGAGAAACCGTACAGTTGTGAAATCTGTCAGCGAGCCTTTACACAAATATCACACTTGCGAGAACATCAAGTTACCCATACAAAAGAAAAGGCACATACATGTGTGATGTGTAATAAGAAGTTTACTACCAAAAGTAGCTTACAAAGGCATGTCTTAACTCATGCTAATACTTGTGATGTATGTGGGCAAACGTTTACGACAGAAAATAAGCGGGATCGTCATAGAGAAATGCATAATGTAAACCGACCATTTCCATGCCCTTTGTGTGATAAGAGGTATGTTAAAAAGGCTGATTTGAATAGTCATCGTCAAATGCACTTGAATACAAAGACTGCAGTTTGTAAAATATGTAAAGCAACTTTTAAAAGTACTAGGTATTTACGAGTTCATCACAACCACCGCCACAGAAGTATGGGAATTCCATTTCTTTGCACAGTTTGCAATAAAGGATTTTATCAAGAATGTGATTTAGAAAAACATTCCTTGATTCATAAAAGTAAAGATAGAATAAAATGTTCTAGTTGTGGGAGAACATATAGCAGTATTAGTTCTTTGCAGAAACATGTTTGCAACATAAATGGTAAAGTGTTCACATGTAAATTATGTGATAGAAAGTATCGACATAAACATTCTTTGAAAAAACATATGCGCAAAGGTCATTCTGAGTTTTGTTAAAATACCATAGTAGTGGTTATATACATGATAGTTATTGATATTTTCCTTTTCATTGAAATATGATAGTTATCTATCTATTGACATTATACAATTTGCAGAAATGATCAAATGCATCTTTCTACTAGCCTTTTGCTTCTGTAGCACATTTGAAAATTTAATAATCACAAGAAATGTCAATACGACAACTTGCATGCTAGTTATGTATTTAAATTTGCACGTTTTTAACTGGAATGTAAGGAAACATAAAATAGTGACCTAAGAAATTCAAAATTCAAATAGAGTGTTTTTTAAATAAGCACTGTGTGTTTTTAAAAAAAGAGTTGCTGCATTTTTTATCATTTTATTTTGTTAATATACCTACAGAATTTAAAGGACTATTATGATTTTAATTGTTGCAATTTTAAATATTTTATTTATATTTCAGTTTGTTTTATATGTATACTAATTAAAAATCACATCTTAAGCAATCAATCTTAATCAATATGTTTAAATCTTATTTGATTTGCAAGTTAATTATTTTCTACTTTGTTAATCTAAATATTTTTATATAATTTATTAAATAAATGTTATGTTTTTTGAAATATATATGAATTTAACACTTATGCAAGTTGTGGGGATAATTTGTAATTTTAGCCGGAGTGCACCGGAGCCCTAAATAAGAAGGCTCCGCACTTCTTTTATGTAACTGGACAATAATTTCAGTAGAAATTTTGATCTTAAAAACCTTATTTTTAGTAATAAAATTATATTAAAAATTGCTCATTAAATTCTAATTTATCTCTTTGCATTTTATTAAATGTTAATTTTAATTATTTAATTATTTTAATAATGAATTCTTTAATTTTTTTCAATTGTTAATGATTTTATTTGTCATCTTATTCATTTATTTATTCTTGTTCCTCTTTCCTGAAGGTCTTCTATAGGGTTACAGTACTTCTAAATTTTGAAATTAAGCCCTGAGCAGGAAAGATTATGAATCACAAGATTTCTTGCAAGTTTGATATTCATTAAGTAATTTAATTGGTTCTTTCTCATTATTGACATTCCCAATCATAAACCACACACACACACAAAGTATTGATAAGGCAATGCACCATATCACTGAAAAGTATTTATGTGGCAGCCCCAAATTTTCACATAGCATTCCACAGACGACTTTTTACTTATGTGAAAATTTTTGCCAGCGTGACTGCAGAGTATGATCCCTTCTATGGGAATTTCAGCATTTTAGCAGTTTTGGGTAAAATCTCAGACTTAAAAGCTTTCTGAATCCATGAAGCTGAATGTGACTTATTTAAAAGCATTATGTCACTGTTTTTTCCTTTTCATTTTAGGATTTTAATGTCGAGTTTCTGTACTTCTGGAATGTTTTATTATTAAACACAGATCATTATGTACATAGAAAGAACAACAGCACACAAGGAATTATGTCTGCTATGAGAAAAGAATAATGCAGCACTGGATGCATCATTGAAATAGAATACCCCATGATAGAGTGATGATTGAATGGGTGTCAAAGACAGTGTCACAGCAAGGGCGTGTCATTGATGTGTCCAATGCTAATTGCTCAAGCCAAAATTTTTCATGAAGAAATGAACTTAAAACTGAGTGCACATACTCGACAAATTGGTCAAACAGATTTAAAAATCACCATGGTATAAGTTAAACCAATTAAACTTGTCAGGTGAAAAATCTTCAGCTGATACTGAAGCTGTTGAACTATTTGCAGATGAATTCATTGAACTTACTAGTGAAAAGTTATCTCCAGAAAAAAATTTACAGCACTTATGAAACTAATCTTTTCTGGCAATATGTATGGCGAAATATCTTGGAAACTGCTCAGAAAAGGCTCCAACTGGTGTCAAAGATTTTAAAGTGAGACTAATAATTTTAGTATGCACAAATACTGATGGAATGCAAAAATGTAAACTTTTTGTAATCAGAAAAAATGCACAATCTTGAGCATTTAAAGGAGTAAAGATTTTCCCCATTATATATCGTTCAAATAAAAGAGCATGGATGACATAAGCATAAATGAATGATTGGTTTGAAAATTATTTCATACCCGAGGCTCAGCAACATTTGAATTCAGTTGGTTTACCTGATGACACAAAAATTGTCCTGATTGTAGACATCTGTATGGCTGATACTTCACTTTGTTTTTGTGAAAGGTAATGTATCCATATTATTCTTTCCTCCAAATTGTGTGTCCATCATTCAGCCTATAGATATCGGAATAGTGCACATGCTGAAATGCAAATATTAAGTAGCATTTTTAAAGTCCATGTTAAATTTCTTGAATAATGGGTAGATTATCCAATATTTTTTTTTTTTTTATATTTAAGCATTAAATCTGCTGTGTGAAGGATCTCAAAATTGTGGGAGAATGTGTCTCCAGATACTTTAAAAAATGCGTGGCATAATTTATGGCCAAGGACCATATTTCATGATGAGGATAATGAATACGACAGCCACAGATTTGAAGGTTTTCAGATATCGCAAACCAGAGGTGAAATTTTCTAATTAATGGATTTTGTAAAGAAATGTGGAGAAGCAGTAATAAATGGAGATGATATAATAGAAGTTTTTCATTGGGGTGACAATGCTCCAGAGATGTAGCTAGGGTTTTCAGCGGCTGGGGACAAGTGAAGATTTTATACCCTTTTCTGTGTGTCAAGAATGGAAAACATTTCATTCTAAAATTTTGTAACATCAATTTGGCATCCCATGATGCTTCACTCAGGGACAGTTGTCCTCCTTTGCCCCATCCTAGCAATTCTGCTACAATGCCCAATCATTAATTAGTTGATGGACAGCAAAATCTGTAGTATGTTTCTAGATGCAGAAAATACCAGTATTGATAGTGAAGAAAGTGACGGAAAGTGAAAGTGACTGGAAATGATAAAATTTCGATCAACAAGTTAGTCGGAATTCTCGACACAGCAATTACAGGACTTGAACAATGGAATTTTGTAACTGAACACGAAATTTTACCTGTATATAGAATTAAAGAGAAAGTATTAGCACAAAAAAATGAAGCAACTTAAACAATTTAAGCTTTTTTTTTTTAAAGTTTTTGATACCCTTTAGATCATAAATGCTTCATTATTTCATTAATCATGATTTCATATTTTTAATTTTGTATAATTAATTTCTACATGCCATCTTACTAGATTTTAAACAGATGATTTAATATTCAGAAAAATCCCAAATCCTGGATCGCCGAAGTCCTGACGAGCCTGGATATCGGACTTTGTACTGTATTATGTTAGTTTTTGGATAACAAATTTAAGGCATAAAAGCTTTTGAGTATTTACGAGTTCACCACACAGGTATTTTTGACGTTTTCCTCATGTGTAATGTGTATATGAGCCATATTCCCTTCGAAATTCCTTTCTTCCCTTTAGACGGATAGCCCACGATTGCTTTGCCATAATCAAATAAACCTAATTAACACGTTGAGCACCATCTCAGCCATCTGTGGCTGACACTAGACTTTCCGTTTAGGCCGCGTCAACCGCCGCTGGCTGACAGCGTGTAAATGATATATAACTATACAATTTACACTGTTTTATGGAATTACAGAAAAATTATTTAAAATTTACTTAATTTTGATTCATTACAGGAACTAATGGATTTCATTGAAACACGGTAAACATAAAAACGGTTCTCTATTACAGCTGTTACAAAATGTGACAACTCTCTTAGTCCTTTTTTCTGGCCATTACTCTACCAGCTTCTGTTGCATTTTTATCGTAACATAATTGACAATATTTCCGTACTTCAGTGTCTTTTCCCAGTTTTTCTTTGGAGTTTATGTTGTCGTTTTTTAGATATGGTCTTGCATTTCTGTTCGATGGAATGCCTCCCTTTTTCCCATACTTGTAAGGGATACCGCTAATTCTTTCGGGAATTCAGTAATGCTAATTTTCTGCTTTGTAATATCTTTGCATAGAATGTAACTATTTACAAAACAGACTTGGAACGTAACATGTTGAATGAATGCCTATAGGAATCACGTTCCAAACGTAAACTATCTTCTACTGCAATAAGAATCGCTGGCCCTACATTGCCAGTGGTAAGCAGCACGCATGGCCTGAATGGGATTGCCTAAGAAATACACTTGGTGCTCAACATGTTAAACCAGCATTTGGGGAGAATTTTCCAAGGAAGGTTTTGTTGCATTCACATTATACATGTAAAAAATAACCTGCCGGACAGCCCATTTGCCTGGGTTTAACAGTCTTGACCACTAGTGCAGCTGGCAAGTGCAGGTATTGTTAATCATAATAGAAAAAGAATAATAAAAGGCCAGAATTATTTTGTAAAAGTTACTGCTAATCATCATAGAAGAAGACTAATAGAAGGTCAGAATTATAATGTAAAAAACACCGTTAATTTTTCTTCAAATCCCTGCATTTTTAATAACATATTTTACAAATTTATATTTTTGGCTAACATTATGTCTTTTCTCAAAATATTTTGTGATACTTTTTGGATACAAGGTGCCAGTGTAACTATTCACCAAGGGCATTTTATTTCATCTCATAAATATTTGTGTAATTATGTTACTACAAACCAGTTATTATCAACTACAATGTTGTTCCAGCTTATGCTGGAAGAAGAAACATCTATCCATTAATTTTTCCTTTGATATTTTGTTTCTTGAACTGCTGACTCCAACCTCATGATGAAAGAATCAGTATTGCTTGCAGGTGTTTGCAGTTGCTGAATGATGAACAGTTGCAATTAAATTCTAAGGCAAAGGCTTCACCTATACTAAAAGATTTTGTTTGAAAAACCACATAATATAATGATATGTTACTATTACTGAAGCACCAAAATGGTACTGCAATGAAAAATCACATCATGAGAAAAGTTTACAGAGCAGACAATAATTAAGAGGTTTGCATATTCCTTTTCTGGTAGTTATTTTGTTTATTTACTTTTAGGATCCAGAAGTCAGATTGCTAAAATAGTGTCAACTACAGATAAAAATGAATTGGTGTATAACTATCAGTTGGAATAATTAAATGTGTTCTCTTCCTCAATGCCTAATTTTTCCCCTTCCTTAGTGCAGTTTAAAGTGGATTCATCTGCATAGTGACTATTTTTGTTCTTACTAAAACCCCCACAAACTACCTTCAAAGATCAAGCCTAACCTTTCCCTTCTAAATTCGAAATTTATACCAGCCCAATACAATAACTGACCAATCACAATGAAGCAAACACAAATTGACATTCGTCCTAAGATTTTGCTGTATTTTTTATTGCAATGTGAGTTTCTTTTAAAGAAATAATATTGTGATAGTTAGTTACAATTTATCCATGACTTTTCATTTGTTATATTTTTACTGTAAACATTTCTTTCAGATATTATATTTTTTTTCATAATTTTCTAGTCTTGATGTTTGGAAAATAAAATAAATAAAAAGAAGGGGGATAAACCTGAAACATGGTACGTATTTTAAATTTTATAAAATTGCCTTTCTTTTCATGAAGCTAGTATGTATATGTTTAAGACTATCATTCCTATCTCCTATCATATTTTAAGCCAGTATTAACATTTGGTGTCCTGTTAATGAAAAAATACAATTTTTATCATAAAAATTCCAAATTACACTCATGTCCATAAATTAAGGATAATGCAAAATCAGGCAAAGGAAGAGTTAGAAGCAAAACAAATTTGACTTATTTGTAAAGCTTTTTTATTAAACAAAAAGTAAAGAGCAAAAAAAGATGCTATATGTTTGATATTATTAAAAAAATTAGCGATGTTTTCTCCCTGGAGCAAATTACAAAAAAAAAAAAAAAAAAAAAAAAACCCTATTTACAAAAAAACCAAGATTACATGGTTGGTATGATTGTTAATACATTGTATATCTCCCAGATGATGCAATACAGTCCGTACAACGCCTAGGCATGCTGAGTATCAAATTATCGATCTGATCTTGGGGGATATTACACCACTCAAAAAGCAATGCTCTCCGAAGTTCCAATAGACAAGTAGGAGGAGGTTGACAGGCTGCAACTCGTCGGCCAAGCATGTGCCACATGTGCTCTACTGGATTCAAGTCCGTTGAGAATGCTCGCCAGTCCATACAGGTGATATCCTCCGATTGAAGGCATTCGCTTATGATGTTTTCACGCTGAGGACGGGCGTTGTCAACCATAAACACATATTGTGCGCCCATGGCACCGCAAAACAAATGTGCATGCTGTTCCAGAATGACATTCGTGCACGTCTAAGCGTCTGTGCACAGTCTGCCTTGAAATTGTCGTACCAGTGGCTGAAGAGAGCTAACGAGACAGGTCTGAGGCTGTGCTCCGCCTGTTTCTTTTGGCAGTAACTTCCAAATACGGGTCCTCATTCGGCATTGTAACTCTGGGGCGACCTGTGCTGTAACGTCTACTCATATTACCATCATCTTGGAATCGTTGCCAAAGCCTGGAGATGACACTCTGGGCAATTCCAAGTTCGTCTGATATTTCCAGTTGGGTACGCCCACATTCCAGACGGCCGATAATTCTACTATGTAAAACATCATCCAAATGCGTCCTTTGTGTCATAACTATTCGGTTATTGCACTGAAATGTTTATAAAGCGCCTGAGAACAATTTTACTTCTTTGCCTGTATTCCTTATATATCATTCTCTTACACTCTCGTCATTGTGACGTACCATCGGTGTCATCTGGTTACTTCCTGAAATTTGCGTATTATTCTTGAAGATGTGTTTAGTGATTTTTAAGGTGATATATTTATTTTAGAGTTCGATTTCCGCGTGACTCCGAATTATCCTTAATTTATGGATATGAGTGTAATTTTATAACCTGTAGGTTTTTTATAAATGAATTCTTGAATATATAGATTTTTTGTAATTGAAAGTTATTCTCCCGAAGAAAGTAAAAGAAATACAGGAGTAGAACTTTTAAGGAAATTATTTTTCAATTACTAATTATCTCAACTTCCTTGCTCATTGGTAACTTGATGACTTTTTAACACTCAAGGGATTTGAAATAATAAGTGAATAATCATAATTTGGATATAAACTATACTTGATTTAGGTTTAGCAATTAAAAAAAATATATATTTATTTTTGTTGTTTTTACTATGTAGAACGTGTGGATTTGCAGAGTCTTTCTACCTGTAACTTGACAAAAGTGCATTTTTTAATACAAAGTTTAGGTACATATTATCTAACATTTCAGCGTAGAATAAATTTTTTTATAAATCAAACTTTATCAAAGAATGGTGTGAACAGTTATCTGCTATTCCAAGTTTCTAAATACAATAAAAAGTATTAATTTATGATATGAATGAGTGTTTAAGAAAACAATGTTGACTTATTTCTGTGCATTTAACCTTTTAACTGTCAAGTTATTTTGATGATTTGGATGCATAAATTGTCAATTTTGTTTTATTTCAAAAATGAAATGTTTGCCTCGCAGCCAAAAAAATCAAAAAAATACCGCGCACTTTGAACTTTAATCTCTATCCTTTAAAACCTTCAGTAAAATTTTTCCATCTGTTGAACTGAAGCCGAAATAAACTTCTCACGATATATATTCGGGTATAACAATACGATGCACTAAAAAAAAAAAAAAAAAAATTAGCCCGAGTTGTCATATAATCGATCCTTTGACACTTTCATCTTTGTCGGTTCGTTTTCCATCCACTTATGAATGTTATTAGTCGACTCTATTTGCAGGAAATAAACTGGGTCACTTATGCAGTTTTAAGGATAACATGAGCTACATTTTTAAATTTTGTAAATACACATTAACTTTTCACAAAGTATTGCTTTTATTCACATTTACATCAAACGCACAAGTAATACATTGCATCTCTCAGTTCAACAAAAAAAAAAAAAAAAAAAGACCAACTCTACTCTCGGAATACAGCAAAACTAATTTGAAATTTTTTCTCATGAGCATGCCGTTCTTCTCGCATCAAGCACATTTCTTCTCTCGTTGCCAGATTTTCCCCTCTCTCCTTTCAGCTATAAGTCTGTTCTTCCGGCAGGTTTGGTCGGTAGCATAGAGTATGTGCATGACACGAGTAATACTCGGGCGTGACATTTTGGAATACCAGTGAATCTCGGGCATGACAGTTAGAAGGTTAATAAAGGCTTATCTCATGGTTAAATTATATTGTATTTACTGTTAATGTATATACTGTACTTATTGTTAATGTATGAATTTTATTTTATTGTTAATGTACGAAATACTGTATTTATTGTTAATGTATGAAAAATAACTGTGACCAAGATCATCTGAAAATATCAAGGATAGGCAACTTACCGTAATTTCCGGAAGAAAGGCCGCATCAGCGTAAACGCCGCACTCGAGAAAAATGGCGGGAAAAAAATTAAAATTACACAGAAACGCCGCATCAGCGTAAACGCCGCAATAGATTAAATTGCGCGTGACATCGTCGTGGGGGTATAGATGCAAAAGCTCAACCTAAGTCCTGATATATGACATACCAGTTAAGAAAAATGCATGAAATGAAACCATAACTAAAAAATAAATTAAAGGTAAGAACTGTAGCTTCTGTGCCGTTTAGAGACATTTTCAAAAAATTTCCGCTCCCTTCTTACTTAAAAACTATCCAATAAGTACTTGTACCCAAACTGATGGGATCTGTATGTGGCAGAATGCCAAGAAAAATCCATTCATGCTGAAGGGGAAATACATCAGAGTTCGTTATTGCGAGGCAGGTGGAATCGTGTCCGCCTTTGAAAAAAATTGCAGAAAAGGCAGGGGGGAGGAGAGGATGGGTCCTGGAAGATTCATCGAAGAGCAGAGAAGAGAGACTATTCAAACTGATGAGAATGTTGATTTGAAAGGGGGAAGAATGTTATTGTTCTGAGATCTCGTTTAGGGTGAATAAGGCATGTAGGTCCCTTCAAGGGAAAGAATGTAAACAAAATAACGTTCGCAAAAAGCAACTGAGTGGTCTTTTGTGTGGGAATAGCACCAGTCTATGCACAATGACAAGGCCATCCAAACTACGTACAATGACCATCGTAGGAAATATTTTATTTTTAGTGCACCTAAACGCCGCATGGGTAGAAACGCTGCACCCGCTGAAAATTTAAGTTTTAAACACGTAAACGCCGCAGCGTTTCTTCCGGAAATTACGGTAAATAAATAAACATAACTATTATGTGTGCTCTGATGAGGATAAGAACTTTATACTTCGAAACTTTGTATTTGATTAAGCATATGACTGCTGTGTGCATAGTTTCTTTCTAGTTTTGATCACTGAACTCATACTATAATTAAAAATATTTTCACCTTATCTATGAATATACATCCAGCCTGAGACTACTGTGGTAGTAGGCACTATCTGCTGACCGTCACATTCGTAAGGGCAACCTCTTAAAACCTGATGTTGTGAAATAACCAATTTTGTTAGCATTTCAGGTAGGATGAAATACTTATATTCCATATAAATGAAATGAGCCTTTCAATTTGTCTTTTGTGAAAGTTATGAGTTTAGTTTTTCAAGAAATAGAATTTTTGTGGTATCCACAAGAGCCTTACAAAGAAAATGTATAAGCTGTTAGAAAATGTTACAGAATAATTAAAATTTATTGTAAATAAAATGTGACTTACTTTACTTCTCTTCCAACTTCATTCTTATAAAATTCACTACATGAAAACTGTTGTTTTTTTAGATTTTCTTTGAAGTTATGGCTTTATTCGGCACAGAGTATTTCATCTCAAACTAAGAAATAATTGTTTTGTATCCTAAAAGTCCTCTGATTAAAATACTTCTGCACATACTTTTTACCACTCTGGAAATCTTCAACTTGTATTAATGTAAACAAAGTTTGATCTTGAAATGTAAAAGTAATGAAAAATTTGTGTATGATGTGGTTTGCAAGCTTGCTTAGTGATCAACTATTCTAGCTATTTAGGTTTTCGATTAATCTCGTAATAAAGCTAGGATTTCCCTCTTTCTCAAATCTTAAGGGGGACTGAAGATTTCCTTGAGTTTTCCAAACCTTTGGAAATTTGTTTGAAATATAAATGTATATTCTAACTTCATCAAGACATTATGTTATTTACTTATACATTTAAGTATCTTAGAACTGTGTAAAAATTTATTGATATTACCGAATTTTTACTAGGAAAATAAGTTAGTTTATGCAGTAGCATTACTGCCATCTATGTACTAAATTTATACAAACAAACAATATATATACAGTGGTTCCCAAAAGTGTTCGTACACTTATGATTTTATTGAAATAGGGCTCTATCCATTAATTAAAAGTAAACATTCTGAATGAGATTTTAATAGTAAGAGTAAGATCTATAATCTATTCGAAACAAAATTACATGAAATATGTTTAAAATATAGCGAAACTTTATTTTTAAGAAATTAATAATCAAAAAATGACAAACATTTTATCTCACAAAAGTCTTCGTACACTTAAAAAAAATCTTGA